GAAGGAAGACCGATTGGTATCGATACATGTAAATATTTGGGGTATCAACAAAAAAGAGGCGAACAACAACTGTGCAATACTGCTGCTACGACTTTGCTAAGTATCTGTCCTTAAAAGATTCAGTATTTTATAACGGTAGCACTTTGTGGTGTCTCTGTCTATTTACGCTCGTTGGAATCCCCAAGGAAGAACAAAATAAAAAGGGCGTAACTGTGGAATCCACCCGGAGGAGGTTTTATTGTGTACAAAACCCGGAGTTGTTTTTTCGGGTGGCAGTTGTCGCTGCTTGATCTTCAGCGCGCTAAATGTCCTCACTTCGGGGCGAACGATGACATTGGGAGTGGACTGACAGTGTCGTCACAGTCCGAGTTGCCACTCACTGCCTGAGGGATGACAGCGGCTTATAACTAATTGTCAAGCCCGTTCGCCTGCGGCACGATTGGCGCATTGGGATAAGGTCACAAGACCAGTTGACCCTTAAGGAACTGCGTCCAGGTGGCACGTGCTTAGACGAGCGTGGACGTGTCCGATGGAGCTTTAAAGTCATCGCGTATAGGCGGTCAGTTCGAATAAACGAAGAAATTTTGGCAGGCTCGACGTCTCAGGAAAGTCTCCAATGTTGCTCGCATTTTGTCAGGCTTAACTCCTAACACAGTAGACCAAACAATGTGTGGACTCTGATTAGAAATAAAATTGCTAAATTTTCTGGAAAACAGGCAATCCTATTTTGATTTGCAAAATTGTACCTCCAACTCTCTCACTTATTGCTACTTTTAAATCTCCCCCGTCCCAGGTCTAGGCATCGCAGTCATCGTCTGTGCTGTTATCATCCGTCTGTTCGCCACATTCCTCGCAATGACGCCTTCTCAACTCACCTACCGTGAGCGAGTCTATGTCGCCCTGGCCTGGATGCCCAAGGCCACGGTACAGGCCGCTATTGGCGGACTGGCCCTTGAAGCAGCTCGCAAAACTGGTAAAGCCGAGCTCATTGACCGGGGCGAACAGGTAAGATACGTTAGCCCAAATAGGGGAAGTTTTAATCGCGAATGAATGAAAAAGTTCGCGTTCCAGGTATGGATAAGGAAGAAGATTTGTCGAGCACCGGACATTGCAACACCCTTTTAACTTGTGGATGTTTGCAATGTCCCTCCTTAACTCGACATCGGAGGGGCGCAAATAAATCTGTATGTTGTAAGTAGCCCTGGTGGCTGCTCGGACATATAGATTGAAGCATTGTTCTCCCGGAATAAATTTAAACAAGGCAAGTATGACAAGATTAGCAGAATTTAATGACTTCATATAATGTCGTGACCTCTGATTCCACTGCAGTCAGTCGCTGCCTATTAATAAGAGAATTAACTGTCCAATTAAATGTCAGCCTGGAAGGAGGTAAGTGGAGTAGAAGCATTTATTAATAGATGTGGGCGCATGGTGAAGGGTAAAGGAGCGGTGGGAGATATTGTCG